TGCTGCTGCTGTCGTTGTTGTTGCTGCTGTTTTTGTTGTTCTCGCTGTCGCTTTTGTAGTTTTTCCGCATTTTTAAAAATTTAAAAATTGAACTTTTGCTAATAATAAAATATTATTTTCTCCAGCGTTATAGTGTAATTCTTACGAATCATAAATATCTTTCATATAAAATCAGCATAAATGTCATATTTAAATCTAATAATCATATTTCTCTTGGAATAAAGATTCTTGGTTTGGACTGACCATGATCACGTGATATTCTTCATTGGAGTGATCACGTGATAGCTAAACACCTCGTGCATTAACCAATAGCACGGTTACATCTTTAGATCATAGCTTTACGTTACCGACTTCGGTGGATTTTTAAGAATTCTTCAAAATCCTGTCACAGAAAATATTCAAATGTGAGTATTAAAAATRCATTCTCATATGGCAAATGTAAAACCGAGTAAAGCAATTTTTTGCCTCTGAAAATAAAGGCGATCATATGGTTCTGGTATATTTTTAGCAAAGGACGCCATCTTGAAAATTCTAATCAAAATGCCACTTATCACGGAAGTTGTACATAAGATATGTATTTTCCGGTAGTTCGTTCATGTTTTAGAAACAATAGAACAACAAAAGAATACAAGACAATGCATACAATAGAGTGCACGCACTAAACCCGTGCACAATAATTAGTACCAATTAGCACTATTTCATACAGAATCCTTTGTTTTCTATTGTTTAGTTATCACTATTTAGTGCTAAAAATTAGTATTAGAGTGCAAACAATAGAATGCAAACACTAAAAGTGTGCAACATAAATATCACTAAATAGTGCTATTTTAAGCTAACTCTTATTGTTTTCTTTTGTTTAATTAGTGCTATTTACTACTAAATAGTGATAACTATTGCACACATTTAGTGTTTGTACTCTATAACCCTGAAACTTTAGTAATACTAAATAGCACAATTTTATGCAAAATCCATTGTTTTCTATTGTTTAATTAGCACTACTTTGTACTATTTAATAGTTAGTGTTTCACGGATTAATTGTTTGCACTCTAGTTTCACGGGTTAGGTGCAAGCACTCTATAAAACAATACACTACTATTTTTACCCCAGTCAACCCACAAAAGTCGCCGCATGATTGATAGTAAACATCAGAATCCTCACCTTAATCTGAGACAACGCAGTTATAAGACTTGGGCGATGCTCGTTGCTAACAGGAGGGGCATCTGTATCGTCTGTAGTGCTGGTAGTTGGGATAGATACTGCCACTGAATGAAAGTCGGTATTTGCTAAAGTAGGGAGTGATCCACTGTATCTTTTTCTCTTAAGTTCCACATTGTCCCATCCGTAATTCTTGTCTTGAGAATCCTGTGATCCAACAGATGTAATAGATTCTCGTTTCTCTTCGGGTGCATTTGAATATTGTCGACTTGTCCCAGGCGATTCCTTAAAGGAACTGTCATCAAAGGATCCTTCCGAAGACGAGGACACTCTCTTTCCACTTCCGTACTTTTTTCTTCTTGACACATTTGGGGATATCTTCTGTAACTCTTCTTCCAACACTAAAAGCGATGCCTGGCATTTCTTCTTGGAGCCTTTACGAGGAAGCGACGTACCACTTTCTGGGACAGAAGGCCGGTATAGTTCGTTCTTATCATCGAATGAATCACGAGAAGATATCGATCCTGTAGGAGACTCCATGAACTTGGCTCTCCTTTCGTCTTGAACTGACCGAGTAGTAGCATCGATGGAACTTCTTAAAGACTCGTAATTTTCTGAAGATCGTCTTGGTCTAGSGTTAGTTTTCAAGGCAGTAAGGTTTTCCATTACAGCAGCTTCTTTACTTCTATTCTCCCTCATATCCTTATCAACATGAGCAAGTTTAAGATTAATTTCCTCAAGTCTCTTCTGGTCCCTAATAATTTCCTCTTTATTCTTAACGACATCTTTTGCAAGTAATTTCTTCATTGCGCCCTTTTTCTCGTGCGTTTTTTCGAGCTTCTTCTGGAGAGCCCCTTTCTCTAAATTCAACGAATTTCTCCTTTTTCGCAACAAAGTTTCGGTTTTTAATGCTTTTAGTTTTTCTTCTTCAGCCAACTTGTCGCATTTCCCCAAGTACTCTTCCGACGTCTGATAAGAAGACAAAACATTTGCATAATCTTTCGAAGAAACTGACCCTGTTGAAGATCCTCTAGGTTTTCCTTGTGGCACTATTTCAATCTTATCCTTCTTTTCTTTGACATCTGAATGTTTTTTAGGAAGTTCAGGAGACTCTGGTTGTGAGTTTGCACCTCTTAAGACAGCAGCCGCTGATTTCTTCCAATTTCCTCGTGCCTTTGTGACTCGTGCGTACCTTTGGTGACCCATACTTTGCATACGCTGTTGCTCTTGAAGCAGAAGTAAAACCTCCGGTAGCGAGGTAGGTTTGCGTGTAATTGTAGAAGAAGACCTCATTGAGCTACCATTAGAATCCTTAAAAAGGTCCTTTTTATCGCCTGCTTCTCTTATTTTTCTCAGTTCGTTCAGAGACTTGGACATCTTTCGCATCTTTTTTGTGGAGTCGACCTTCTTCTCATCCACTACAGCAACGTCTGGTCTACTTGCATTATTAATGTTACCTTCGCTTTTTATCTTTGGTAAGACGCCATTAAGAAGGTCAAATGTGGCCAGAGGGTTTTCGTTTGGTCTGAAAATAATTAAGGAATATAAATAAAAATAAATGAAAATACTCATTAGAAGTTTCCTCATTTCCTCATTTTTTTCATCTCTGAATAATACGTCAGAAAAAGGTGGACCTCTTGGAACTGCAAGCTGCATCACAGTTTTTGTTGTTGCTGCTGTTCTTTCTGTTGTCGTAATTTTTTAAGAATTCCCTGTCATGGGACTCTTCACAATTTTTAAATAAAAAAGAAGCAACAAAAATGGTTTGCGTGAAATTAAAAACGTGACTTGCCCTGCACGTGGTTTCGAACTCTGTGGACGTAAGTACAAAATCCAGTCCAGAAAATTACAGAATAACTTCGTATGTTTGTATTTATGCTAGGTGTAGTCAATAAAAGTTTGATGCCATGGCGTTCAATTTAGAATGGACGTGACTAACCTTTGGACATCCCTTTCAGCTTGTAGTAATCTAATCCAAATATCCAATTCTCGTTCACTTTCCGCAGAGAAGCAATACTGTTTTTTATCCAACGGCAGCTTCACCACGAACGCAAACTTCTTTCCTTTAAAGCTTGTTTTTTCCACAACACAATCTTCAAGCTTCATAGTAGAGCATGGATAAATGTCTTCAGAGTTCTTAAAGAAGTGTAGATTGTTCTGCTGCAGAACACMCCAGCGTTCTGACCAAGGTCCCTTGTTGACACGAAAATATAAGCAAGATGTGTACTTAATACCAATGAGAAGGGATGCATTAACACCAAGGCCACCAAATGTTTTTCTTCGTCGTTTCGTAGATGAAAGGTCCAGAATGGTCAAAGCATTTGAGATAGTACGACGTAGGGGACTCTGTCTTTTCTTGGAATGAACCTAGAAAAAAAATCTCTTAATATTCCCTTCTATTACTTCAACAGACAAGGAATTTTTTGTTACTCCAATCTCTCCAGTTAAGGAATCATATTGTAGTTTGCGATTTGTAAGCTATTGTTGCTGGGAAACTTTTTAAGACCTCAATACAGGGCAAGTTGAACGATTTTGGTTCTCATGTCACCAAATCTTAACATAACAATTTGCACATTTAAAAAACAATTAAATCCTGACTTCAATAGGGTATTAAAGGCATGCTCATGTGCAAAAAAATTAGCAGCAATAAAGTGGCCATTTAAATGCTATTATAAAAATTTGTAAATTTATTTAGCGTAGATTATATATRATACATAGACTTATTTACGCACTCAACAAGTTGTGTAATAGACCCCTTGCACAGAGGAATTGTTCTGCGGGACAAAACAATGCATAAGAAAAGACGGCCTATTGTTTTATCCCCAAGGACAATTCCTCTAGAAAATCAATACAAGGGGTCTATAACTTACCAAGTATCCTTCAGATAACGAACGAATCCTATCAATCCCACCAGCCGAATATGCTCTTTTGATTTGAACTCTTGCTTTACTATGATGATCATCTACGCTACTTTCGCTTGACACATCGCCAGCTGTAGTTGCCTATTGGTGTTTGAAAATAAATTACAGCAATGTCAGTACACTGGTACTTAGACAAAACAATGTTGTTGTTTTTTTTCAAAATCGCGAGTGTCCAAGAAACGATAAACCCAAGTTTAGGTTGGACTTTATTTTTTCGAAGCGAGATAAACGGTGAGCTTGCAATGATAGAGACCTTTTTGTTACACTTTGGACAATTAATCACGTCTCTATGACTGTAAGCTCACCGTTCGCTCTACCTTTCAAGATGACGCAGGGAAATGTGAAGGGGACTATTGGTTAACATAAGTGGTTAGAAAATAATGGCAAATGAGGTGGCCTTAACTCACGTACAGATCTAACTGGAATTTAGCGTGTAAGGTTTTGCGGAGAGAGGAAAACTGGATGTGTTGTCTCTCCCTTGCCACGAGGGTTTTTTCTCCGGGTACTACGGTTTCCTCCCTCGGTAAAACCAATCATATATGACATGAGGGTTGTGCGCTTAAAAACAAAATATTTTTAATAATAATGATCACTCACCCTAGGCGACGGATGAGGCTCTGGATTGTGATTCACCAGATGTTCTTGTACAGTGATGTCTTTGAAGAAAACATCATCCCTATCGAAAGAGTCTCCAGAAATCTTCGAGCTACTTGGGGTTGCTGTTGTGCATGAATCATCGCCTTCGCACCCACTCTCGCTCGACAATAAACGGTCCTTAGTTAAAGAAGTGGTGAGGATAGCAGAGGAAATAGCGTCCTTCCATGCGACGTAATCTAAAAACGATGACGGGAAAAATTAACAACAAGAGCTCGATATCTGTATTCAAAAATCTAATGGGACACTCAAGGCTTTTAGAAATCCCTTCAGCTTGGGCGAAATGTTTATCCATTTCAGACCAAGCATCATTCTCTTGAGCATTTAAAGATTCTTTGCGTAATATATATAATATATATCACTATTAATTGCGTAATATATATATAATATATATCACTATTAACTTGTCTTCCCTTGCGCAACCGTTAAAGAAAGAAACAATGCTCTAGAAACGACACATGTTGTCTAAAAATGGGAAAACACCTCGCCAAGTCTTAGAGACCTTAAACCATATTTGGCATGATGAACAGTACTATATGTGGTTGGGACTTATACATAATAGACGTTAGCCAGACTTTACCAGATTTACAATTAGGGCACTATATTCGTCACTATATATGTCCTTTAGTCAACTAAAGGCCACTGCGAGAAATAGTGCCACTGGGTTGATCTGAAATGGGGAAATGTTACGTCCAAGCTGCTAAAGGGGTTTATAAATTAACTGTTTCTTGTACTTTCTGGTGATACCATGAGTATACTCACCTTCTTCAGTTTCAGCCCGCAGGTACAGCGGTTGTCCAATGGCTCTCTTGACGACCATAATTAGTGGTCCTTCTGTGTCTGTACAGTCTAGCACTAGACAGTTAACGAGCCTGAACTTTAGAGTTTCAAATTGTTTGATGGAGTCTGTGAAATCGATTTCGGGTTCAATATCAAGTGAATGATTCTGAAGATTGACCTGCAAAGGAAAATAGGGAGAGGGAGTGAGTAATTTCTGCAGGAAGTCTTCAAACGTTTCTCGTGATACCAATGATCATTGTGGAGTTCCACTTTCTTTTCAAGGGTACATATGCACGTCAAAACTAACAGGGAAAAAAATTGAACATGGATGAAGTGCTTGGTGGGCAGCAAATGTTAGCTTTAAGACGATCGCGTGAATAGTCTGGAAGCAAGTGTACTCGCGTGAGTGTTAAGAGGACCCTAAACAACATGGAAAGTCTTGGTGGCAACTTTGCAACATGCTTAGAACCCTCAGAATGATTTTCAAAAAGTGTAACATTTTTGAAACTGGCCAAATCTACTGCAGCGTAAACCAATTGAAAACTAATGGAATATAAATGATTTGATTTTTTGAAATTTGAAATCTTTACTTTAATTGGACAAATACTCTATATTTAGTATCGGGAACCGTCTTTAAAAGATCCACAATTTATCGCAAGGAGTATATTCCTTGCTTGCTTCGACAACTTTCCCTAAAAAAGGATTACATTTAAATAGTGTACCTTGCTTTTTAGCCAAGTATCCACGGGTCGATAATATAAAGTTCCTTTCATCGTTGGACCATTCTCAGTTACACTTTTTTCTGCCTCGGCTAAATAAAGAGAAATTTTGACTTATATTAGTACCGCAGAGTAAGAGATCACTCGATCCGTTGTTCTGGCAATTTAATAAAAATGGACCTAAAAAGTAAAGTAATGTGACCGATGCAATGCGAGATCATTGAAGCCAGCTAAATTAAAACGAAGAAATATTAAAGATTTGGGGGAAAAAAACAGATCAAACCGCACCACCACCAACAATTCTTGGGGTGCACGTTACGGCACCGCCGGCGCCATCTTGGTTAAAGATAATAAAGCATTCCTAATTAGTTTGTCTTGTTAGATCAACCAACATGGCGTCTGTTTTATTTTTTGCATGGGAAGTAAAATTTCTTGTCATAAACTTTGCATTTGTTCCTTCCTACGACATTGCTGCTGTGAAACCGGCCAATTACCATACATCCCCAAGTACCAATATTATTAACTAAACACAGATACTCCCTTATCTAAATAATCAGTTATACACAAATCTTACTTTGAGGTTGTTGATTAGGTAATACAAGATTTTCAATTTCATTTGGTTGCAGCTCTCTCCTTGCTTTGTCATCAAGTTCAGAATCAGTTGAGACCTTGGATTTAGACGATTGTTTTGCAAGTTTATGGGCAAGGGCACCTAGCAAAGAAGATCTCTTTGGGCCTTGTATTTGTGATGTTTCTTTGGATGCTCTAGTGAATGAATGTGCCCTTTTCGTTACTTGTGGTTTTTCTTGTTCTTCGGTCAYTTCAGGTTGTGGTTCAAACGATTTTTGTGATTCCTGAGGGGAGTCTGGGGACGATAGTGTTGTCAACATGGCGCCATCGAGTGAATCTGTTGGATAAACTTTTCAACAAMAAAAAAAAAGGGAGAAATGATTCAAATCAAATTCAAAGAAAATATAAAATACAAAGGAAAACGAAGGAAGAGGTGAAAAACGACAAGGAGAAGGACAAGGACGACCAAAACACATCAATCCCTCTTACTGTTTATTTCATCATCTTCTTTTTCAGCCCTCCTTGCCTCATTTTCAAGCACGACGAGCCATTCTTCCAACTCCGCATCATTTTCCACAGCAAAGTAAAGCTGCTCCTTGTCAGCTATCAGTACAAACATAAACGGCTTCTCCCCCTCGGGTAACGCTTTAACTCCGCACCCAAACAGGGTGAGTTCCAGTTCTGCCAATGGTGCTCCAAATTCCTTAAAACTATACAGYGAGTGATTCTTGACTACACACCATCGATTTTTCCACACGTTGCCTTTCTTCCTTATGAGGTATCCAGAAAATATCGTGTTTTGAGATTCAGCTTGTTGGTAAACTCTCTCTTCCTTTTTTCCTAAAAAGGATTTTAAATCAAATAAAAGACTTTAGGTTTTAGTTTCTTAAACTGATAGTTTGCAAGAGAGTAAAATGACAAAAACATAGGTGTCATGTTTTGGTGGTATTCACAAAGGTATAGCTAGTATGAGAAATATTTTGTTAAACACCAACAGTCAACAAGGCCGCGGTGAAGTAGAGTTGTCAATGAAGAATAATGCCTTGGGAGTCAAGGGAATCAAGTCTCTTCCTTGATTCTCCGAGTTCTCCGGTTTTCCTCCCTCCGCCATTTGTGAGTTCATCAATAGTTAAGTGCATGGAAGCGCCTTACCTTTCTTGAAAAACGATGTGGTCAACTTCGACCTTACTCGCGCTGCTTTGTTTGTAAGAGAGTTCGCCAAAGACCCATGTCTCTTGACTCGAGGAACATTAGTGAGATCTGAGTTCGAACTCTGCTTGTTTTCTACTTCTGCGTTGAAAGTAATATTTTTGCGGTTTTGAGTAGATCCCGGGCCTGTGATAGAAGAATTGTCTCAATGTTATTTATTTATTCATTTATTTATCTATTAATATTATGTTTCTGTGTATGCATTTTTTATAAAGTTGGTGCTTTTTCAACTTGGTGCCAGTAATATGGCCCCCAATATATCCCACATTCCATTGCGGATTAGTTGTAGATTCATTGATCAGGATATTATTGAAATTAGTTGGTACGTTACTGTAATAAACAAGATTTTGGTGAACAACCAACCAGTTACATAGACCAGAGGTTTGAGAAACGAAAAAAGATATAATTACATAAAGGTACCTGTCAGGCCTTTCTTCGATGAAGGAAGATGATTGTTCTCTAAATCTCCTCTCCAGCTTTTTGATTTTGGTCTTTGTAAAATATCAGGTAAACACTGAAGCAAAGAAACTATATGTTAGCTATGGAGGCTTTGAACCATCACGTGATGACAGCCATGACAGGAGGCACAACAATAGTCTTTTTTCCACCGGGAAATAAGCCTGAAGCGAGATGACGTTTTACCCCCGTCTCTAGACCATAATTCTTTTCAAATTGCTTTTGTTCTTTAATTATGACTATTGTTCCTGTATTCTCTAAGGAATCAAAAGTTTTAATGAAAGAATTTAAATAACTATTATGGTATAGAGTCGGGGGTAAAACGTCATCTCGCTTCAGGCTTATTGATTTATTTCTCGTGTAAATCAGATTAGACAACATTCAATTGTTCCTTGATGCCTATAAAAGCCCCTTTACTGGGAGATGACGTGCAAAGGACTCAGTTAAAGGCACTTTGTTTCTGATACCCAGACACCTCCAGACTCGAAAACATCTTGGCTTATGCCCATATTGGGAACAAAAACTTGATTTAGCAATTATTGAGTGGCGTAAAATCGAAAGCCAGCCTTTTAAGTCTTGGAGGGCGCATAAAGTGCAACATAGTCAATGCTTTAATGAGAAAGGCTTGCGTTGTTGTTGATAGCTTTGAGTCTTGTTCACACAGAGAAAAATACCCATAGACGCTGTAATAATTAAGAAATGCGCGGGAGACATGCTAATTTGCTAATACTATAGACGCTCTCACAGCGAGCACTTGGGCATTCAAGGGCTTTTTACTAGGCTCCAGTATTTGATGCAGGTCCTTGTTTATGAGTCAAGCAGCAAAACGCATGCGCCCACCAAACCAATGGGCAACTTGTCACAGTTAAAAAAACAACAACACACAGGAAACCAAGTAAAAATTAAAAACAGAAAGCTAGTTATCATTTCTGAAGTTACATTAAATCTGAATTAAAGTCTTTCTTTTTCGAATATTTCGAGCAAAGAAAAAATAACGTTTATTTTTCCCTCGTCGCAATGCGTTTGAGACAATTCTGGGACAACTGCCCTCGTTCACGTGTTTATCGGTACCACTTCCCGCGCTTCTTTTATTTAGATATGTGAATCATGTATAAATAGAAATTCTCACAAAGTATTACTTGTCCAAGAAGGACGTACACAAATCACTAGAACTACGATGTCTTACCTCTTGCAACTCTTTGAAAGATTCTTCCTGTGCAAGAGAAGGCGGCTCCATGTCATCAGTTTCATCTTCTCCTTTTACTCTCCATTGATTCATAACATCTTTGAAACCTTTATCCACTCCAGCGTGCCAGGTTTTTCTCTTTAAACTCTCCGACCGGGTTTCTACAATGTGTGTTTTAGAATGTTCTGGAAAATTCTCTGACGAGGAACCTTTACCACGACGTTCCTCGAGACTTTCGGCCCGTAGTAACGAACTAAATGGCACATCTTTAATATCAACAGGGCTAGGACTTTCTGAAGGGTTCTCAGTTAGCTTGTTCATTACGTGATTGATGACGAATATCCATTCCTGTCTTGATTTTTCTTCTGTGGTAGCAAACGTAATGCTGTCCTTTAGTCTTGCTATCGACAGAGTCATGGGAAACATTCGACTTCTCTTACGGTCTGTAGAAACGAACTTCCCATCCCGTAGAGGAATTTCAAATAGCATTTTATCGTCTGTTTTGTATTTATAACATTTCATGCATCGTTCTGTAACCGTAAACCAGCGCTTATGCCATCCAGGTTGTTCTCGGATGTACAAAACACCCGAATAAATCTCCCCAAACTCGTTGGGATGAAATTGCATATTTTGTACAGAATTTTCCAAGTTGTCTTCGGTGCAATAGCCATCCTCGTTGACAATTGAGTCATTTTCCCATTCTAAAAGTTCAAAGTCTGAATCAGACAAGAATGTGTCTCGTGAAGATGTCGACTCGAATGTATCCGAGTGGCGAGGGTTGGAAACCTCTTGGCCACCAGACGAGGCGTAGTGAGAGTTGAAAAATACTCCACTTTCTTCTGTGCTGTCAGTTCCTTTGCGGTCTTGTCGAGGCACATTTGAAACTGGTTCCTGAAAAACGGACATCACGATCATTAAAGTAAGAATATTACGCATAAAATCTTTATGGGAGCCATTTTTGATTCCCTAACATATCGCTACGCAAATTAATTTAAAGCCATCGTTGATTAGAATACTTTAAATGTCATCGAGGTTCAAACTGTGCAAAATTGAACACGATACTGAAATATTTCCCTACATTAGTAAAATCCTGATGACAGAGTTCTAAATGATTCGTGAAACGGTGTAACGTTAATGCAAATCAAAACAAAACGTTATGCAGGGCAAACCAAACTCAGACAAGTCATTCAATTCAATTCTTAATTTTCAGAAAAGTTTACTTTTTGCCTGATGTTCTATCAAACCAATCTTTATTATAGTCGAGTTTTACGTTATGTTGGGACATCGTGAAGAGGTTGTTTGTTTTGATCGTTATTTCTGACGTCACGATTCGAGCAATATTGCTCATTAACAATAGATATATCTTTAGATTCTCATGTTGCTGAACATGGCAGCATTTCGGACACACATTTCATTTTGTAAAATTTCGAAGCTTGTAGGTTAACTATAATACTTCTCTAAGATTTTGATTCTGGAGTCAAAATCTATTTGCGTTTGAACGCAATTGAACTCGAACGTACAAGATATTGCATGCGCGGTACAAGTATAATCGACAGCCAGACGTCACTAATGTTCTATAGAGAGTGAAGACATTGTGCCAGCTACCTCTCAACTTCTGACCTCCAATAAAATGTCTGTAAATCAAATTCCATATACCACACACAGCGACCCCGATGTTCGTAAACAAAACCGAGGTCACAAATATTTGGCGAGAAAATTATGTTGGGTAGTCGTTCGCGTTCAAAGGAATTTTACATGAGAAAAAACAAAAGTAACGTGCCATAGGACATAGGAGCTCATCTAGGGAAATCCTGGAAAGTTCTGAACATCTTTAGTACAAGTATTAAAGGACCAAAAAGGCTTAGCTTTTTGGGGGAGGGGATTTCAATGCCCAGAGTGTAAGTTAGCTAAGGAAAACATTGTCACTTTCCGTAAACAATGGGCCGGTATGGAAAGCCGACATCGCATTTGTCAAGGGCTAGCTTTACTCGAAAGGACGGCACTTTTTCCCCTCGTTTTGTTTTTAACTCTCATTTTTTACGTCAAAAAAAAATTAAATAAATAGCAGAATAGCATAAAACTATGGTTCATAAAGTCCTACGAATGTCTCATTAAATTTGCATTAGAAATAGAGAGAGAAATCAAAGGTTGTAACTTACATGATTAGGGATTACCCTAACGTCCTTTGCTAGACAACTTAGAAACCACGATTTCGACGGGTGCAGCATTGGAATATTGTAAAAAAAATTGCGTCGCTTTTTTGTTGTTTCAAGCTTGTCCTTACATAACTATGTTCCGTTGTCTCGTTCTTTGCTAAAGCGGTTGCCGTCTAAACCGTTTCGTGACCTTCAAGTACCTACAATTCACGTCCTTCTGCGCACGATCGTGAGCTAGGGTATCAACTTTGTATAAGCCAAATAGTTAGCGTGCTTCATCGAAGCCGGAAACAGGTCTCAGGTGTCTAAGGCGACCAACGAGTCTGATAACGACCTGAGATACGCTTGTATTAAACGAAACGTTTAAGTTAACAAGGTCTTTTATAGGAATTTAAGATGCTATCAGCAAGTTGTTGGTCTTTTCCGTATTTTCAGTGCTACAAAAATAATTTCTGTAAGTCAAAGTTATTAATATGTAGAGAATTGGTTTTTAAACAGTCTAAAAATACCTATGTCATTTGACATGACGTTTGAGGCTCACATGCTTCGTGCCTCACTAAACCAAACAAAGCGACTAACTTTAATCTTGGTTAGATAAGGACCATTTGCGACGAGAGAAATCGGGAATTTCAAAGAAAGCAACTCGGTGAATGATGATTTGGACTTGGAATTGTTTTCCTATCTTCGTGGTTTTATGGCGTGTGTTAGTGCACGAATTGACTGGAATCCGGCAGAGAAACGTGCAAACATTTTGACACATCTGGAAGTTAAAGTTGAGAAATTGGTCAAGCCAACCATTTCAAACAGCGAAAATACCAAAAAAATCCCAAGAATTTAGAAAAGAGAGAACTAATTAATGAAAATTAAACTGGAAAATATGAGAGTTTTCATTTTTTTGATTTCGTGTGGCAGTGTTTGCATGAGCGGGTAGAAAGCTACTCCTATCCTTTCTAATGCAGATTTTATCAAAATAATCCCGTAGTTGAAAAGTTTATCTCAATTTTCATAAACAATGCGAATTTTTATGCTATCGATACGCTTTAAAGAATCCGATGTAGGGAAAATGATGTCTTTGCAAGAACAGTATACGATTATAAGTGCTCCGCTCTCGCGAAGCCGAGTTCCCGCCAAAATGTAAGTCTAGAACACGTGACTAGGTAACACAATTAGCCGAAGAATTGACGTTTGAATGGCATTACTGTAGGGTGAAATGAAGTGCGAGTTTAATGATATTGTACAAATTACCGAAGTCAAGAGTCACATCAGGTAGGATTAAGCTTTTATCTCTGGCTCAAAGATAACGTCGATTATAAGGAATATTGGCTCCATGCAAGTTCGTGGGAATCAGTTTAAAAATTTAACATTCCGATTACAAAAACTCTCACGATTAGAATACCAACAGTCGTTAAAAATACTAAGCTTCTAACTGTAATTTTTACTAACACATCTCCTCATTGCCCTTTCAATCCATTATATATCGTCAGTGTCAATTTGCAAACATACACCGAAGCTGACCGAAGAAGCTTCTGGGTAATCATAATTCAGCCTGGTATAAGCATGTAATTTTAATAAGTATGATTATTATATGACCGTGAATCTTAGAGCCTGGACACTAGCAAATCGAGCAATCTGATTGGATAGATCGCATCGCGGACTGGTCTAGATTCTCCGGTATTAACCGGTCCGATCGCATCTTAATCTTACGGCGAAAACATTTTGTCCTTTTCAATGAAAAGTGGTCATATAATAAAACTCTTATCAACCGAGCTCGGTCGGGTACAGACCTCGGTCAAGATTATCCCGTACAGACCTCCCGCTCGGTTAATAAGATCTAAATATTTTCCCAAAATCAATTTTAACTTTAGCTCCTAGGTATTATTATTTCAATTTTGCAACTTAGAAATGCTTCTGCTTTTCACAATCATTATTATTAATTTTTAATTAATATCAATTTTTAATTAGTATTAATTTTTGATTAATATTAATTTTTAATTAATATCAATGTTTGACTAATATTAATCTTTAAATTCAAGTCCATATGCATGATTTGGATTCGGTAGTATTAAGCTGCTGTGTAGAAAAATTAGTGATTATTTAAATTTCTCATTGTTTTTTATTTGGTGTTTATTTCTGGCTAAATTAAGGACTTTGAAAGAAGCTAAACTTAGATATTTTTCCAGTTGCAAAATCTTTGAGATGGCATTCAGCTGTTGGATGGTAGTTGACGTTGTGTACTCTCTCTGTTGACCTTGTGATCTACAAGTTTCGCAAGAGTTGTAACTACGAAGTTGACGATTGAGTTGGAACTGAACATCTTGCAAAATTAACTCAACAAAGAATGCTAGGAACGTATCCTAGAGTTCTGCATTCCATACCTTATACAATACAATGGGAAAGTAAATATATAGAGAGAAGACCGGCTCTAAGTGAAAAAGTGGCATTAGGTTGAGACAACTTGTACTTTTTAGCCTGTTCGAGCTGCTAAGCATCATATTGGCTGAATTAATAAGACATGAGTGTCGAATATTTCCCTAGGAGCGAATGTCGAAACAATAGATTGCTTTACATCCTGTACATAGTTAATATTACCATCAGATCCATCAGTGTTACCAGTGCTCAGTGATAAGGTTGTATTCTCCAGGGCTTGAAGTAACTAAAGACTTGACCGCCATGTTGGTTAGTAAGACAATAGAAACAATGATAAAACTTATCTTTGTTTTTGACTTTCAGAAACAAACATGGCGGCTATGACGTCACAAGTTCAAAGTATAATACAGAAGGGACCTATGATTTTGGCGCAATAAAGTTCAACATCAATTCCAATACTAACACTGAGCCATATTCTTAGTTACAGCTTAGGAACTAAATATATTGATTACCTCTTCAGATTCCCCTTTGAGAAATTCCATATTAAAGCGCCAGGATCCCATAGGCAAGTGATAGAGAAAATGGGTAGCGTTTCCAACATTAGCCGCTATGAATTACATGTATAAGACACTTTATCAACATTTCAAGACTTATCTTCTTGCGAATCAATTGACTAATCGTGACTCCATCGCTGTCAGTGTTGACTTTAGATAATAATATTTTCACAAATTACAATTTAAAGCAGTTTGTCTGTTTATTTAGTTTTGAGCAACAATTTGCAAAGGCACAAGGATTTTATCTGGGTCGTGAATCAAAATAGGACGGCAGTGTGTGCTGCTGATCTGAACCGCCTTTAAAATTCATAATTTGGTCGCACACTGCTTGGCCCAATTTGGCTTTTCTGAATGGGTTTTCCAGTTTTCCACCCTCTGCAAAATGTAACAAACTATATTCCAATCAGACTAAATTGTAACTCTAATCTCCGGAGACCTGATTGGCTCGTTCCCCCTTGGAAGGAAAGCAAAACCACAGAATCGTGCCACTATGACCTTCTTCCTCTCCACTATGAACCAAGAACAATTTCCTTGAAATTAAATTGAGTTTGTCAAGGGGCCCGCAAGCTTGGATATTAAGAATATCAAATATGTGCGTAGAACTATATCTAACGTTTTGATTCTGCTAACATTGCACAAATTTAGCAACACCCGTCAAATTGTCACCAAATCAAGGCGAGCAATTAAGGTATATTTTTTCATCATTCAAAATACGTCATATGGCGAAAATAAAATATTGTTATAACATCCAGATCGACAGATTATGAAGTTTCTTTTGTAACTTAACCTCTCGAAACTTGGACAAAAGTATTATTTTTGTTTTAATTAAAGATAAGGGTTAAGCAAGGGACAGTCTTAATGGAGCCTAATGTTATGATTTACTTTATTCATTTTATCCATTAGTATATGGAAGAGCACGTTTTTATTAGGCGGATGTATGGATGTATGGATGACCTTGCATTTGCCAACAATAAATAAGCTTGTTATGTTGTCACAGGAAATGCGACCGGACAGCATTTATCATTTGTTTCCTTTCTTCATCCGATCCATGCATCCATTCATTCATTCATTACATCCATGCATCCATCCATCCATCCCTCCCTCCCTCCCTCCCTCCCTCCCT